AACCTCTGTCTCCAGAGTTCAAATGATTCTCCTGCCTTGGCTTCCTGAGTAGCTGGGATTATAGGCATGTATAATTTTTGTATTTTTAATAGAGATGGGGTTTCACCATGTTGGGCAGGCTGGTCTCAAACTCCTGACCTCATGATCCGCCCGCCTTGGCCTCCCAAAGTGTTGGGATTACAGGCGTGAGCCACCTCGCCCTGCCTCGTTCCCTTCTTATGAGCTGGACGTCATCATATATTATCTTATTATGTCACAAGGTACATAATGTTCTATAATTACCCCAATTTCACAAATAAAGAAACAGAGTCTGAGAAAGAGGAAATCAATTGTCCAAGGTCATCCGGCTTCTAAGTATGGATCACATAGGATTCAAATCTAAGTCTGACTACCTCTAGTTCAAGTTCTCGGCCACTCAGTTATACAGACCCCGCACAACCCAGGACCCTCCGGCCTGCAGCTACTGATGTCCCTCAAGCCCAGCACCCCTTTGTGTCTAGTACCCAGCAGCCTCTCCTTATGCAGGCCCAGCATCACCCAGTTCCCACTCCCAAGGTCTCTGTTTTCTCCCTTCTAATCCCTGGCAACTGGTTGGCTTCCACGCCCCACGTTCTGAGTCTCCCCAGGCCCCTCAAAACTGCTATAGACCCAAAGGTCCCTGTAGCTTGACCCAGCCTCTTTCAGAGGAGCCCCCCTCATTCCAGCCGCACCTTCCATGCCACTGCACAACTCTCTGGGGCTCCCTCTCTGTGGGTCTGCTCCACACTGTTGGGTTGTCAGAGGCATGAGGCCCAGCTGGGCTGGGGATCAGTTCTGCAGACTGGTTAAAGTGTCACCAGTGACTCCCCTTCCACTGGAAGCCCTGTATGCCAGGGGCCAGAGTCCAGGAACCACGGGAGTGCCCCGTGGTTTACATGCTGTGGCCTTGGCCTGCCTATACAGCCTGGAAAAGAGCTAGGCCAGGGTCCATAATTTAACACGGAGAGGCTCTGATGACCATATGTTCCTCTCCAAAACCCACCTAGCCAGTGGCAGATAGGGATCATTTATACCCTCCACCCTGACTCCTACTTTCCACCCTCATTTTCCTCCTATGTTCAATGGCTTCTGCTTCCCCTTCTTACCTCCTGGAGCCCCAATCAGAATGGACTTTGCTAAGTCTCTCTGGGACTTAGAGACCCATGACCAAAGCTGCAGGGATGATATGTTCTCCTGGATCGACATGCTTTCAGTGGGGGCCTGGGGCTGCGGGACCATGGAATGAGAGAGAGAGAGATGACAAAACTGCTGGTCTTATCTGAGGGAGCCAGAGAAGAGAAAAGGGGCACACCCAGTAGGCCACCCTGTCTCAGAGTCCCTCCCCAACAACTGCCTGCTCTCTGCCCTCATCTTCTGTCATTTCCTCTCATCCTTTTTTCCTGATAAATTTTCGCCAAGCACGGTGGCTCACGCCTGTAATCCCATCACCTTGGGAGGTTGAGACAGGCGGATCACAAGGTCAGGAGTTCAAGACCAGGCTGGCCAATATGGTGAAACCCCATCTCTACTAAAAATACAAAAATTAGCTGGGCGTAGTGGCAGGTGCCTGTAGTCCCAGCTGTTTGGGAGGCTGAGGCAGTAGAATTGCCTCAACGTGGGAGACAGAGGTTGCAGTGAGCTGAGATCACACCATTGCACACTCC